TAATCATATGCTTTTTTATCTAAATCTATAAATATGGAAATAGAAATAATGATAATAATGGATAGTAATTGAATTGTTTGCAATAGTCAAGCTAAGAGCTTAAGGCCCAACACCGCCCATGGGTTATCCAAGTGCAATCCAAATACATACAAAATTAATCAAAAGAAAGAAAGAAAATCCTTACCCAAAAGAATCCCCAACAACTAGAAAGGCCACATTAGATTCTCGAGCTTCTAACAATATATCATTTGCCCGTTCCTCGACCATTTCTCTGTCTGCAAGAATAGTTTTCCTCCATATAATTCTTAATGCAAAACCCATATCATCTTTTCAATTTTTTTATTACCCAAAAAAATAAAAAATGTGGAAGATAGAATTTCAAATGCCATCCAAACTTGAAGTCATGAACTGAAAAGATACATCCAACAGGACATATCAAGCAAGTTCTATAACATTTTGTATGCCATAATTAGGCAAGAGAAAAGAGAAGAAAAAAAACAGAACTTTACCAATGTAGAGAAACCATTTGAAGAGAGACCAAAAGAGAAAAGAGAAGTATAAGCCTCCATGAACACCTTATCACATTTCTTTATTGCTTCAAGGCCTCTAAGTGTGATATCTCTCTTATCACCTAAACACAAATCGATTATATACAACATCTTCTTGTCTTACTCACTGTGTTCATGATAAAACAAAATTTAGAGTAATCCTTCTAAATAAAATAATAACAAAATACAACTTGCCTAACTATATTTTTTGGTTGACTTGGTGATATACTCACACACACACACACACAGGCCTAATGTGGGTTTTGCCATTCGACAAGTGTGTGTGTGTGTGACTATATCAAGTTAACCAAATATTTCCATGTTAAATGTATTGCTTCTCTATCAACATTCGATTTTTGCTCGGTTTGTCGCTTTAACTTCCAATTTACCTTAAACACCCGATTAGACCCTTTCGATCCTTCCCAAACACCCAAAAATCCAAAGAACCCAACTTTCAGCCCAAAAGTCCTTAGATCCACTGTTAAACCTATTTGATACCTATCTGATGGCCCTGATCGACCCCCACTTACACCTCAACCATTAGATCATACACAACCACCAGACCTAGGACCTCCCAAAGTACCTACCCATGAAATTCTAGCTTAAAATTCCTCTGTTTACCCTTTCATCAAACAAATATTCCATTTCGATCTTTTTTGTTAGCCTAAACACTCAAACCCAAATTCCCTTGATTTTGACACATCCGAACCGATCAAACTACACTATTAAACTTCGGATACATCAAAACACCTACCATAAAGTTTCAACCCCAGATTCCCCCATTTGCCCTTTCATCGAACCAAGATTTCGTTTCAAAACATCATGTTCACCTAAATTCCTAGGATCTTGACCCAAATTCCAAACACCCACCTATAAAATTTCAACCCAAAAAACCTTTGTTTACCCTTTCATCGCACAAAGATTCTATTTTGAGGCCCCAGATTAACAGAAACAAATCCTTTCTAGATCTACCCAATTTAGGCCCAGTTGGGCCAATCTGATCCCACTAATCAACCCAGAAAGCCTAAAAACCCCACCTTGCCCAATTTTAGCCAAAATACCCTTATTTACCTTTCCATCTAAAAAGATTCCATTTCGGCCAATTTTGCTAGCCCACAGACACAAATCCCTTATCGGCGGTCAAACCCATCTCAACCCTCTACTTTTTTTACCCGAAACCACCCACCAATGGACCAGAACCCTGGTTCAACCACTGGACCCGGTGTGACCCAATTTTCCAAAAATCATCAAAATGCCCCCCAGTTACCCAAAATTACAAAAATGCCCCTGATGCTAATTCAACCTAAGTTTTCATTCGTCCTAATCCAAAAAATTCGAAGGAAGATACTAATCGACTGTTCCCCTTCCTCCCCGTTCGCAAAGAACAGTGGCGACAGCGGCGGCAGATCGGCGACAGAACTCTCCCTTCACCGGTCTCTCTCTCTCAATAGTCTCTTTCTTTCTCTCTTCCTCTTCTTCTTCTTTCCTTCTTCTCTCCCCTTCACCCGCTCTCTCTCATTCTCTCACCGGCGTTGCTGCAACGGTAGTTCGTTTTTCCTTCTCCTTCCATCGTCGTTTCTCCCTCTCTCTTCTTCTCCTCTTCCTTCTTCTTCTTCTTCTTCTTCTTCCTCTCCTTATTCTTTTCAAATCACCTAGAAAACACTATTCATCTTCATTCTTCCTTGGACATCGAATACAAACAGAAGCATTTTCTTCTCCCATTCCCCTCTTCGGCGACTTCTCCATTAGAAGAAGCAGTTCCTTCAATTCTTCATTCCGGTCCACCTCCGAGCAAACCATTGCAGTTAACTGATGCGTTTGATTACACTAGCAAAGTGCACTAGCCGATCAAGTAATATATTGATGAGTAGAGTATCGTTCCCATGGGGATTAATCCAACAACTACTAGTACTAAACCTGCCTTATGTTATCTGACAATCCGGAAATTAAAAACTTATTTCCTAATTAGCAAACTATCCTAGGTATTCTCGGATCAAACCACCTTAAAGAATTAGAGAAAGTGCTTTATGAAAATACTAGCGGAACCGATTCAACAATTATACCATTAAGCTATCCAACCAAAGTTGATTTCAGGCATGGGTTGGTTATTTCCTAATTGTATGGGCAGCCTCTTTCGAGCACATACCAATCTATCTATGAGAAACAACTCTTATATTTCTATCACGAATTTAATCGCTATAGATGCATTAAAGACAAGAAAATCGAAGGAAATCAATTCTTGATGAATGAATGCCAAACGAATCATGCACATTATCTCTAAGATACATTCAATTCATTTTCTTAATCAGTTAATCTGATTACCTAAACCCTTTCTCAAGCAATTTAAGTAATCCAAGAAACAAGAGCAGTTCGGCCAAAATTACTCTTATAATCGAAAACTCTAATCAAGAAATCCCAAGACTGAATCACTATCAATCGGATCAGCTTAAAAGATTAATTACAAATATGAATTAACATACATCATGGTTCGCATAATAGAAAGAAAGAAAGATTCAACAAAGCAAAACCCTAATTGAATCTAGGTTACCGAATTCGCAGAATCAAAGAAAAAGACAACTTAAAATTTCTGCATCAATCTTCCATATCTTCTTCAATTATCCTTCAGTAGCCTTGTGATCCTTCTCCTAGCACTTTTCTCTTTGCTCTTGTGCCAAGGGGTCGAACCCTAATTTCCTCTCTTTCTTTTTCTTTTATACTCTTCTTTGCAGCTTTTGGTTTAGAGTCCTACTGTTAGACAGTGTATGCCTTTAGCTCTAATCAGAATGATGTACTAGTGGGTGTTGAATCCAACCAAAGATAAAAGGTCTTGCTTCAATTAAATAATTTGTAGATGGTGATGAGCAAGGTCATCTCCATAGGGATTGGSTGGATTTATTTCCAAGTGAACGAAGTAGGGGGTTGTGAAGATAAGAAAATAAGATGAAATAAAGAAAATAACAGAAAATAACAGAAAGCAATGATCAAATCGATGGATGATAGCTTCTGGTTGAAGGGACAAGTTCAACCTTGATTCTTATCATTGATCCTCAATGCAAAGATAAATTCATATGTTTACGAATAAATTGGTTATAGCCATTAACAAGCTCTAACAACCAACCTCTACTCGTATTATTCGACAACCAAAACAAGCTCTTTGATTGCTTCTCTTATTAATAGACAGTCCTAAACAAGCTCTTAGGATTTAATCTATTAATAGCATTAAGAGGGGAGAGACCCAATTCTGGTCAGCGATCTCACAAGCTTGGACCGTTTAAACCAGATCATACATTTTCCTAACATAGATCAAAAACTTTTTTGC